GCACATCCCCACTGGGGGGCGTGCAGGAGGCAGCTGATCGATCTCTCTCATCGATGTTTCTGGCTCTCTATCCCTCTCCCTTCTTCTCTGTAAAAAATCAATAAAATATATTTAAAAAAAACACAAAAAAACAAAACAAAACAAAACAAAAAAAACTGTATCTTTCTCATAAGTTGAATCTTTTATTATTTTGAAGTGCCCCATCTTTATCTCTAGTAAGGCTTTCTGCCTTAAACTATACTTTTGTCAAAAAATAATACAACCAGCTTTCTTTCAGGTGTTTGCTTATCTTTCTTATCCTTTTATCCTATATAATAAAAGGCTAATATGCAAATCGACCAACCAGTGGAACGACGGGTGGCTATGACACGCACTGACCACCAGGGGGCAGACACTCAATGCAGGAGCTGCCCCCTGGTGGTCGGTGTACTCCCACAGGGGGAGCGCAGCTCTGCCAGAAGCCCGGCTCACAGCTGTGGTGGCGGGAGCCTCTCCCGCCTCTGTGGCAGCGCTAAGGATGTCCAACTGACAGCTTAGGCCCACTCTCCGTAGGGAGCGGCCCTAAGCCATCAGTCAGACATCCCCTGAGGGCTCCTGGACTGTGAGAGGGTGTAGGCTGGGCTGAGGAACCCCCCAAAGTGCATGAATTTTGTGCACTGGGCTTCTAGTTTTCAATATAATCGATCCTTATGTTTTAGATGTGACTCATTAACAACAAACAGATGGGTTTTTTAAAATTTAGTTTGATGAACTTTGTTTAATCTGAACATTTAGTCCATTTATATTTAATGTAATTACTGATATATTTGAGTTTAAATCTACATCTTATCATGTGCATTTTTTTGTTGTTGTTAATCCTCACCTGAGGATTTTTTCCATTGCTTTTAGATAAAGGAAAGAGAGGGAGGGATGAGAGGGAGGGAGGGAGGAAGGGGAAAAAACATGAATGTGAGAGAGACACATCGATTGGTTGCTTCCTCCACATGCCTGATCTGGCCGGGGAACAAACCTGAAACCCACGTATTTTCCCTCAACCGGAAATTGAACCCACAAACCTTCAGTGTGTGGGCCAATGCTCTAACCACTGACCTACACCAGCTAGGGCTATGTGCATTTTTTTGTCCTGCTTATTACAGATTTTCCCCCTCCTGCTTCTATTCTTTTATACTTTGTTATTTCATTCTTTCCCTGTCTCAGCTTGGAACTTTATTCTTTTAGTAGTTACCCTTAAGTTGCAATACACATCTTTGATATACCGAAGTCTATTGTTGACTCTTTTACTCTCTTCCCAGACTATATAAAAATCTTAGGATATTTTAACTCCCAAATACTCTGACTTGTATATTTTAACACTCTATAGTTAAAATCCCCTCAGATATTATTGTTTCATAAGTCAATAGTCATATTTTCCTCATTAATTTCTTCCTGCTTTTCTGTCCTTCCTTCTCCCTGAGGGGGGGGGGGCTTTTATTTAAAAAAAAAAGCCTTTATAAATTAAGTTCCCTTTAGAGTGACCTCTGTTGATGAAATCTCTCATCTTTTATTTGTCTGAAAATGTTATTTCCCTAAATTTTTTGTTGTTAATCCTCACCTGAGGATATATTTTCTTTTTCCATTGACTTTTGGAGAGAGTGGAGGGGGGGGGGCGGGTAGAAACAGAGAGAAGCATTGATATGAGAGAGGCACATCAGTTGCCTCCTGCATGCGCCCCGATCAGGGTCAGAGAACAAGCCTGCAGCCAATGTACATGTCAATGCTCTAACCACTGAGCAACCAGCTAGGGCCCATTTTTGTAGATTAATGTTGGGTATGACATTCTAGGCCACTACATTTCTTTCAGCCCTTTGGAATTTCCATTCCACTGTCTTCAATTGTTTTTGAGAAATTAGCTGTCCAGTTGTTGCTCACTTTAAAGTGGTCTTTCTTCTCTGGCTACTTTTAAGACTGTCTTTAGTTTTTAGCATTTTTACTATGATGCACCTCAATGTGCATTTTTATTTATCCGTTTAGGGTTCACAGAGCTTTTTCAATCTGTGGCTTGATGCCTCATCAATTTTATTATTTGCTATTAAATCTTCAAATTTGCTTCTGCACCATTAGATTTCTATTTCCTTCCAGGATTCCAACTAATTATACTTATAAACTTTCTCATTGTATCATCTTGTCTCATGCTGTGTTCTGTGTCTTAGTATTTTTACTTTCTATGCTTTATTCTGGATTTCTTCTGATCTATCTTCCAAGTCATTTTTTTTAGCTGTCTAATCTGCAGTAAATCTACCCATTGATTTTAGTATTCTATTGTTGTCCTAGAATTTCCATGGTTTTCAAAATAAATATATACTTTACACATGTGTGTAGTTTCTACTATGTTTATGTAGTTTCTAGTTCTCTAATAAATTAGAATTTCATTTTTAATCTTATTAAACATAGCAATGGTAATTATTTTAAAATCTGATAACCCTAATATCTGGAATCCTTATGCTCTTCTTGTCATTCATGTTGTCCTGCCTCTTCTGTGCCTGATTGTTTTTAATTGTGTGCAGACATTGTATGTGGAAATTTGTTTGTAGAAATAATTGAGGCCCAGGGTGTTGTTTTTTCTCCAGAGAGGATATATGATAGCTTCTCCCAGGATCTAGAAACACTGGCAAAGAGAGATTACCGCAATTCCACTTAATGAGGATTCTAACTCAACTACAGTCATGCAATCTGCTGCTTCTTCACCCTTCCTTCTAGGGTACAGCCCTCTTGGGTTCCAACTCAAAGCAAAATTTATCAGTTCCTCTTTGCAGGCTCTAAACCTCAAATTTTTGTCCTTGAGAGGCTCTGGGAACTGCCCCTACCCCCACTTACTGCTGACCAACAAAGGTAAGCTCTCAGAAGCCACGCTGATACTGCATGGTCCTGTTCCTGAAGCCTAATTAGACCCTTGGATACTTGATCCATTTGAGCTAATTTCTTCCAATCAAAAATTTGGTTGGCATTCAGAAACAGTTGTTCTATTATAATAACCTCAGGAGCTAGAGAGCAGATGGAAAGAGTGGTGGAAAGCCAGTAGACAGAACTAAAGCACTGATGTACAAAGAAGCAGAGAACCACCATTTCGATATCCTGAGGGCCTTTCAGATTCTGCACGGGGTCCAGAAGCAAATCTGTACTTGTGCTCACCATGACTTTTCTGTGCCCTTAGGGTTAACTTCCCTTTTATGCTCAAGCTAAACTGAGGTGGGATTGTGTCCTTGCAACTAAGAATCATAATATAGTTAGGAAGAGACTATATTTATTCAAGCTATAAAAGTTTTTAATAAATTGAAAGATAAAAAGGATAAACCAATCAATAGTCAACATGTCGTCAAAAGACTATCAAAGTAAAAGGTCTGTGATTTAGAGGTCACCTTCCAATGTGTCTGCCAGAGGCATCCTATAGGTCTTCCAGAACTACTTTGCCACCAGAACCACTTGCAGGGCACACTCAACAGTGTCTGGTAAGATGTGTGCGTGCAAGGAGAACAAAACCCTGGAGGGCAAGGTAGAGTCACACAGATCCTGTAAAATAATGCAAGTAACAAAGCAGGCTAACACCAGGACATTGAGGAAGCTGCATTTAGTGCAGGCTAGGGACAGAATAGATGTTCCATCAACAATGAAACAGCAATAGCAACACACATCAATTTTGTAAGTGAGTAGAAAATAGTTATGTGCAAAACAAGGTTGCCTCCACTTACTTTAGCCACACAAAGTGGTGAGCTCTTTGAGGGCAACGTCTGTGACTTTATATCATCAAAGCCTATCACAAAGCCTGGTATACAGCATTTCTCAGCATTTCTGCCTTACCTCCTTACACTATTCTTCAAGCTTCCCAATAAATTACAGTGGGGCCTTGACTTACGAGTGTCCCGACTAACGAGTTTTTTTGAGAGATGAGCCGTCTCTCGGCCGATTTTTTGCTTTGAGGTGCAAGCTCAAAAAAATTCGGGTTACGAGCCAGCTTCAGATACCCCACCACTAGTTGGCGCAGCGAACGTCACAGTGATTTGACATACGAGTAATTTGAGTTATGAGCTCCGTCACGGAACGAATTAAACTCGTAAATCAAGGCCCCACTGTAATCAGATGGAAGAACTCTACCTTATAGCAAATGATAGTTCATATGCTTCAGACACTCATCTGAGAGACCACATAGAAAATCCAACAGAGCAATGGTTCCCAAAGTGTGCTCTTCTGACTAGCAGCATCACTTCAATGCTTATTAGAAACGCAAGTTCTTAGGCCCCAACCCAGATTTACAAATCGGAAACTCTGGAGGTAGGACCAGTGTTTTAACAAGCTTTCCAAGTGATTCCGATGCATGGTAAATTTGATAACTCCTGATCTATAATAAACCCTTCTCACAGTGTGATTCTGGTCAGCAGCTTGCTAAGACTAGATGGAGTGTTAACTGATAAATTAAAGCCATCTTTGTTATAAGCTACTTGGCTTTAAAGAAAGATGACTGAGTTGGGAGAGCAAAAGAGGGATTTCAGGGCTAGTATAGCACCTCAACTACCTTGAGGTGAAGTTCAGACTAATTTAGGTAAAGTTGACAGACATAACTGTTAGCCTGGGGAAATACGATCCGTTCAGAAACACTATTCTGGCAAGGAAAGAAACCTCTATTAAAAGATGGCTTTCAGCACCTGCCTCTTTTGTTTAGTTTTGGAAGAAAGGAAGCCAAGACAATGAAGAGACTTTTAAAATTCAGGCTCCTTTTCAGCAATAAAGATTTTTTTTAAATATTAATTAAAATTTTAAAAATAATAATAAAATAAAATAAAATTCAGGCTCCTTAGAGTTACCATTAAATACTGATCACCCACCAAATTAGTCTGGTTAAGGACAAAGGCTGATTTCTCAAGAAGTTAAACCTTTTCAGGTTTTATAAGCAACAACAGTGGAGATGTAAATGAAATGGCTAAGGAAATACACACCAGAAATTAAATAATTGACCCTGTATATACACATTTCAATTAATTGTCCCATTTTTTAAAATGTCAATTTATTTTTCTACCCAATTCAAGGTCAGTGATATACAAAAGTATATAAACAGATTACCATATTTACAGGAAGACATACAAAACAATTACCAAGAACAAATCCAGCAAAGTAACAAACTGAAGCTCATCCATGTCCACTGAATGGTGCGATGTTTATTCTAGGACAGTTTCGCGGTTCTCCGGGAAAGAAGTTCTGTGGGTTTATAGCTTCCATAAGGGTCAAGCAAACATTACAAGAGCGGAAAGAATCATGTTTTATACCGACAGTCTGAGTAAAGCTTTTAAAAAACACTCTAATCTTCAGGCCAGTGTTAGAGCACCAGTGGGCTCATAACCAAGCTGTGACTTCATCAAAGGAAACGCTTCTCTCCTCTTGTACACAGGAGGAGCCAGAGGAGCTTTTTAATAACAGGTGACTGAGCCACACCCTACCCCAACAGATGGTATGGAGATTATCGACACACAAAGAGGAAAAGGAACTGACTCCCTACCAACTAAATGTAATCCAGATTTGGGGGGACAGTTTCCAGACCCCATCAAGAAAACTTTATGTGACCTATATTTTGTACAAAGCACATTCTTTTTGGAGAGAATTTGGAATGAATACCTCAAAAGTTTTTACACTGCTCATCAAATACACCTTTGCCCCAAGTATCTGGCAAAAATCTACACTTAGCCAGACATTTTATCCAATAGTTTAAAGGAATCATCCCATCATCAGTCTCAGGAATCAAATGGGTTAAATACTACAATTCTTTAATGGAAGCAGAAACCAGAGTCCTTTTCTCCCAAAATGCCTCAGCACAGAGAATGGAATATAAAAAGCTCAGTGGCTTTAAAACATAAAATTCAACAGTTCTCAGTCAACCTAGCCACAATTTTCTGGCCATCTGTAAGTAACTACCACTTTCAAAATTCAACTTTCACATTCAAAAGCGATCAACTCCTCTTCAGGGGTGAAAAGAAAAAGCAATGGCAATAGCCTAAATCCTCCACACACTAGACAATTGGGGAACTGTCTCATAAAGACACTTTAAAGGTCAGTAGGATTCATTTATAATTTGGCATGTGCTGGCTGAAGGGGCAACAAATAGAAGGAATAAAGATATAGTACATCAAGTAATCAGACAAATTGTAGACATATATGCCATATTAATAAAGACTCATATACAATACTGTGTTGACTAAAGAAAACATTATGGGACACTGGAGGAGAAAAATAACAGGAAAAAAAATTACAAGGAAGCATTTCAGTCCAAAGCTAGTCCAGTGGATATCTACTAGTAGGATTTCTAATCTTTCATCTCCAAAGAAATTGAGCAAATAAAATTACCTTGTTCACTTTTGGGACATACAACATGCTCCCAAGTAATCCCTCTGACGTCTTGGTCTCACTTGCTATTTGATGACTAAGTTGTTTCTGGCTGTAAAGATTTTCCTAATATATTTTAATTAGCCAGTTAACACAGGGAAGACTGCTCCCTCTGAGGCCAAAAAGCTTCACAAAATAATTTCATCTAATGAAGATGAAGAGTGGTAAAAAGGGGAAAAGTCTCCTGGTTTTTCTTGCAAAACTTTTTCTCTCACTTGAAGAACTCTACAATCACTTAATGTTTTGTTCCAGAAAAAGAAAGTAAAATTAGTTGAGAAAATAGTCATGTACTTAATTGTTTACTAGCATGATACAAAACAAATTCATAGATGTCAGTCGACTGTCTTTTAAAAACCAAATGTGAATGTTTAATCTTGTAACTTAAGAACTGAATTTTTCCACATTCCTTTATATAGAGTTAGCATCTGTAAATTGAGACTTTTTTTTTGGACAATCATGCAAATTTAATTTGTCTCTGGAAACAAAAACATAACCTAACAGATTGACAAAATATGTCCTTTAGACAATATATTTTCTGTGAACTTTTCTCCAATGTTACCATTTTAATCCTTTAGTATACAGAAATGACTCTAAAAAAGTTTATGTATTTCAAGTTTACAAGAGTTAAACTCTCAGAATGACTAGGAAGGAAGACTGGGTCAAGTCAACCTATTTTACCTTCTGAACTGGCTCTAGTCCTCTCAAAAGTAAATTCTAAAAAAATCCTAATTATTATTAAGCTTTATAAGCTGGAGACATTTCTACTGCCATAGATGTAACTGTGAAATTGAATAAAGATTTTATTATACCACACATACAAGCAACTGGTACAGAAAAGGCCGTTTTCAGTTATTCTGTTGAGAATTTCTTTCCATGATTTCTCCCATTAAAGTATAGTTTTCAAAGCAACCACCACGACAAAGGAAGCATCTAATTAGTCCATTTTCTTCTGATCCAAGAATGCTGAACATTTACTGTCCCATCTGTAGTTGTATCAGCAGTGTAATGAACACAGTTTATATTACTTAACTATTCTTTGAACTCCAAGAACTGTTGAAGTCTTTTCTGATGTTCTGCAGATGCTTGCACAGCACTAAATGAAACATAAATTCAAAGCATAAGCTTTATTTTACATTAAGCATATTAAGTGAACCACAGAGCACAGAGTCAATATTTTTCAAAACAATTAAAAACGAAGAGAAATCTTCACTTATTTAGTACTTCTGAAAAAGTTGGATGAAAACTCTCCTTAATCTAATGAGGAGGGCTTGCATTCAGTAATGGCATGCTTCCACCTTTTAAAAGACCAAAGCAAATTAAGACTGACAAGTGAAGGCATCGATTTTAACCTGCTCTGCTATGGAACCTGCTGTGCAGAGTTCCAGGCCTTACAGATTTTCTGGATTTTATTATTTTATTTAAACCAGATTCCAACATTATCTTTGAGTTGTGGAGTATTTGAATTGCCTTTAATATAAAATCCTTTAAACTAAAATGTTTGGTTAAAACATAATAGACTCCACTAATCGTTTTCAAAGGTAACAGCTTTGGTTTAGATTTACTTTTCCCTTTGAAAATAAATTCTGTCTTGGATGAGGAAATTGAGTTCTCTCCCAACCTTCACCCCCACAAACATACATTACCTTGACAAAAGTAGGGCAAATATACTGAAACTAGTAAAAACTTCCAGGCAAAAAGTGAATACAATGGAAGATTCTAATTTTCTAGATGTTTAATAGTAATATATCACTACTCAATAATAAAATTCCAGTAATTGAAGGTCACCACTTTTGAAAGTGCCAAAGAATCTTGCTAAAAACATTTTTGCTACACATCATTCTAAAAGTCCTCATACATACACATCTCTGCTTTCTTAAACCATGTTGCTGCTTCTAATAGAACCATTTCAAGTATTTTTGTGCAAATTCCCACCTAGGTGCTATTGAGGCTGTCATCTCCAACTAAATGGCTCTGAACTCTCTCAAACACAAAGTCTGCAGCTTTTTTCATGAATCTTCTCTCTGCTAGCAGGCACTGCACTCGTTCCTACTACTGTTAGTACTCGCGACTCTAATATCTGTCTCTTCCCCTCAAATTTTAACGTGTTATAAGTTAGAAAACCAGTAAATCAAATTTAAACCTGGTTCTCAGAGGTGGAGCTGTGGATAATGAATAAATTAGGTATTATACAATAATAATAGATTTCCAAGCAACATATAATGTACAAGTGTGGGCTTTATATATGTAAGCTCCCATTGTATATCTATTAGCAACAAGTGGAACAAAGTGGGATGAATAACATAACCCTTTCATGGGAAGGTAACTGTAGCAGAAAGGTTCAAAGGTTAGAGGAGACAGCACAACTTACTGGTTAAGATTATAGACACTATAGATAGAACTCGCAAGTCAGAAAGTTTTGAGTCTGAATTCTGGCTCTGCAACTTACTTACCTGCAAAATCTTGAGCAAGTTACTTAAATCATTAGGCAACTTGCCCACAAACACAGATAGTCAATGATAACCAGACATAAATCTAAATATATCTCTACACTTTTCCCACCATATCATTCTGTCCTATATTTGTACAAAATAGTCTCTACTGACCTCATCAATTTTAATGCACATATAAAAAATTTGGCTCTTCTCAGAGAAAAGAAACTGAGGCAGAACTTCATTCTCATAATTTTTTATCAGCCATCTATCTCCCTTTCTTTTCCAAGAAATATCTATTTTCCCCTTCTTCCTGTTTTTGCACTATCATCTACTTCATTCTCTACATTCATTGGGTGTTTTCTGAGAGTATTCTGCATGGCAGTTTACATCTCAGAGGCAGTCTAATGGTGTACACAGAAAGTTGAATTTTTTTTAAATATATTTTTCTTGATTTCAGAGAGGAAGGGAGAGGGAGAGAGAGAGAAACAACAATAATGAGAGGGAATCATTGGTTGGCTGCCTCCTGCATGCCCCCTACTGGGGATCGAGCCCGCAACCCCGGCATGTGCCCCTGACCAGAATCAAACCTGGGACCCTCAGTCCACAGGCCAACGCTAGGGCTATTATTATTATTTTTTTAATTGATTTCAGAGAAGAAGGGAGGAGAGAGAAACATCAATGATGAGAATCATTGGCTGCCTCCTGAACGTCCCCCACTGGGGGATGGAACTGGCAACCCCGGCATGTGCCCTAACGAACCCGGGATCCTTCAGTCCACAGGCTGACGTTCTATCCACTGAGCCAAACCAGCTAGGGCAGAAGGTCGAATTTTAAAACCAAGAAAGATCTGATTTCAGGTTCATGTTCTAACACTCACTGGATTGTGCTACTAAGCAAGTTCTTAAGCTTTTTGAGCTTCAGTTTCCATATCTGTTATGGTAATATCTACACCTCACAGGCTCTTTGAGAAGAGTAAATGAAAAAAATATATACATTTTAAGTACTAAGTGTATTACCTAGGACAGCACTGTCCAGCAGTACTTTCAGCAGTGATGAATATATTTTGTATCAAAGCTATCCAATACAGTAGCCTAGTACTAGCTACTACAGAGGACTTGAAATGAGACCAGTATGACTGAAAAACTGGAATTTAAATTTTATTTCATTAATTTATATAGCCATACATGGCTATCATATTGGAGATCAGATGTAGAAGGTACTCAATAATAGATTTTGTTTCTTTTTAAACAAATCTTAAGAATAGAGGATTATCTATAGCTCTTTTGTACTCCCATTCAAAACCAGTGTGTTCCATAAAACCTGCTATTGTTGCTGCCTAGTTTTATGGAAGTGAAACAAAACATACTACTGTTTCGCCCTGGCCGGTTTGGCTCAGTGGATAGAGCGTCGGCTTGTGGACTGAAAGGTCCCAGGTTCCATTTCGGTCAAAGGCATATGCTCCGGTTCTGGGCTTGATCCCCAGTGTGGGGCGTGCAGGAGGCAGCCAGTCAATGATTCTCTCTCATCACTGATGTTTCTATCTCTCTCTCCCCTTTTCCCTTCCTCTCTGAAGTCAATAAAAATATATTTTTAAAAATTTTAAATGAAATAAAAACATTAACATTTTTTTAAAAATTACTACTCTTCTAAAAGCAGGTGAATAAAGTTTAGGAAGTCCGAAACTATTAACTGATTGCATACAGAAAACACAGAGTAATCTCTCATCTTCTAAAGTTCATTTATGATTATGAGAAAACATAGTTTAGTCAGTGAATTAGTATCCCTTATCCTGCCTACTTAAATTATTTCATAAGAAAGCAAGAAACATCAATGAAACTAAATATAAACAGGCTTGGCATTTGTGGTTTTCTTTCTGGCTCCGTGTCTGAAGGTGTGATCTGTCACTGTTTTTCCAGCATGATTCACAAAGCACTAAGGACTCATTTATGGAATACTCTGCTCACCCACATCTTAGTTTGCTGACCAAGATGCAATAACAGAATTATTTTTTTGCCTTTTTTTCCTCCCTGAAAGATGTTTTCCTGATTTAAAAAAAACAATATGTAATTATACTTACTGCTTTTATAACTTTCTATTTCTTTTTGTCCATTTGAAAGAAGGCCCCAAAGCTTATATGATAGGCCAAATTTTATAAAATATGAAGTCTAAATTCAAGCTGTTAATTTCCAGTAGGAATCATGAAGGTCCCAAAAAAACACTTCCAACGTGCGAGCCTTTATAAACTTCAAACCTATTTCTTAGGAAAACTCTTGAAAATGGACTACCATCAGGGATCAAAACAGGTAAACTTACTTCAGATGTTCACCAAATGTAGTAGTTATTCGATAGATGGCAGTTTTTAGTGATGCTCTAAATGCGAATCTTAATGTTTTATAGGAAGTGTCCACAAGGGTTCCTGAAATCCGAGGTGGTTTACTGGAAGCATGAGGAAGCTTGAAGTACTTGTCAACTGCCTAGATCAAAGAAAGAAAACACATTACAGCAGACTACCAAGGTCGACTGAGTCCAAAGGATTAAGACTACTTCAGTTAGACAGACAGATACATACTTTATTTATTTTGGATCACAAACTTTTTGAAAAACAATGCAGTAGAGGTTCAGCCACTTCAGTAAGTTCCCTGGAAAATAGTCCTTTCCTCTTAAAAAAAAAGAAAAAGAAAAAGCTATACTTCACAACCCCTTGAAAAAAAATGACCTTTCCTCCAAAAAAAAACAACAAGAAAAATTGTCCTTCACAACACCCTTGAAAATGCAAAGCTGGGAAGTGAAACACAGATATCCTACTCTGCTTATGTGTGTCGTTTAGAGTCTTTATTAACTCAGCAAAAGAAACCAGCCAAAACTTGATACTTTACAAAATAAAAGTTACTTACTAAACTATATTATCTTCCTTTATAATTATAGATGATAAAGCATCTATGAGTAAGAATAGATTGGGGGAGAGAGAATTCAAAAGTAAACACATCTGCCCTGGCGGGTGGGGCTCAATGGTTCAAGTATCAGCCTTTGGGTCTGATACCAAAGGGTCGCAGGTTGGATTCCCAGTCAAGGGCATGTATGTGGGTTGCAGGTTTGATCCCCGGTTGCAAGAGGCAACCAATTGATGTGTCTCTCTCACATCAATGTCTCTCTCTCTCCCCATCCCTTTCACTCTAAAAGTCAATACAAAAATAACCTTGGGTGAGGATTAACCAAAAAAGTAAAACAGATTTTACTTATAGTTGACAGAGTAATTTAAGTATATTTTTACAGGCCAAAGGTAAATAATATCATTTTAAAATGATATAACTAGCCTAACCAATGTGGCTCAGTGGTTGTGTCGACCTTAGAACCAGGAAGTCTTGGTTTGATTCCCGGTCAGGGCACATGCCCAGTTTGTGGGCTCGATCCCCAGTGGAGACATGCAGGCAGCAACCAATTGATTATTCTCTCTCATCGTTTCTCTTTCTTTCTCCCTCTCTGAAATCAGTAAAAATGGGGAGCGGGCCTAAGCCGCAGTCTGGTCTCCCTCTGCAGGAGGCAACCAGGTGGCCGATCAGGGGACAGCACTGCCCCCCCGCATCACCCCTCCACTACCGCTCCCATCACCGTCTCCTCCCTCTGCCCACTGGCACGTGCCTTGGCTGGCTGGGCCGCCTGCCCTGACCCTCACCCAGTCGTTCTGCTGTTCAGTCGATTTGCATATTATGCTTTTATATAGGATGTCTTTTTAAAAGTTCTTTTACTGAAGTTTAGCAGAGTTTGGGGGAAGGAACAAGATTTGATATGTGTGTTCAGTCTGCCATAATAACTTTAAGTCCAATCATGTATTATAAGAGCATTTCTCAAGACTGGGACATACTTGAGATAATTTTAGGCAGTATGGGAGGTGGTATTCAGTGATATACTTAAGCAACATTAAATAACATTGAATCATAATGGAAAAATTATTTTCTTTCCAATCTTCTTATAAACCTTCTGATTAACTTTCAGCATAGCGGTAAAAATAGTCCTCATCATTTACTACCTTGATCCAATGGACCCTTTTAGTTTAAAGTCATTTTACAATTTAGAGAAGAATGACAGGATAATGTAAAATAATTTCATAAACATTTAAATAAAGACATAAACATTTTCCATGTTTTGAAGACATATACATTTGAAATGGACAATGTCCTTTGACTGCAACTCATTAGCTACCATGCATAAGCCTGGAACATATCCAGCTTGTAATACTGATTTCAAAATGAAAATATACCTCCAGTAGGTTCTAGCTTATCATTACTTCTGGTTTTCTCTTGCATCTGTACCATCATATATAATATTTTTAAAAACTTTTGACAGCTTATAATTTTGTTGAAGAAAGTTCAACCATTTTCTTTGCACCATAATTGCAAAATAATTTCATTATTAGGCTTATAAAGACAAATTCAAAAGATTAATCAGTGACTTTTTCCATTTTGCCATTATCTATGCTTTCCAATCATCTTTGTATACACCTTTGTATACTTTCAGCATTTATCCACTATGAATTGTATAAAGTAAATTTCAGTGCACATATATCACAGAAGATGAAGGAATATACTGTCACATATACTTTTAGCAAAATGGGTTGATTCAGGCTCTTATTTACATTGTGGGATAAAGTCCTTCCTGTTGAATGACTTACTAGATGAGAATATCACATATATTTCCTTTTTCTCCTTAAAAATATATTCTTCTGTCATCAATTCTTGAGTTTTGGAAAATATATCTAGAATATTATCATTTGAAGATTTAATCTGAAATTCCTCATGTATGACCCATTTCATCATCATCATTAAAGTCTACAGCTGTTCTGTCCAATATGGTGACCACTAAGACATATGTAGCTCTTAAGTACTTGAAATGTGGCTGGTCTGAATTCAGTTATTCTGTAAGTAAAAAATACACAGCAGATTTTGAACACTTACTATAAAAAACATGTATAAAATGTTATTTTATATAGATTACATGACAAAATGATAATATTTTAGATATACTGAGTTAATTAAAATAAACTTTATCTGTATTTTTTAATGTAACTACTAAAAAGTGTAAAGTTACATATGTGTATTGCATTATATTTCTATTGAACAGAGGTGGGCAGGAGTGCTGGTATCTGTCTCTTTGCATTCATCTTCTGATTTATCTAAATGACTAAAATTATGAAGGCAGTATATGACTAACTTAAATCTAAGAAACACTGGTTTACAATATTTAATGATGTGCTCCATGGTTAGGAGAACTGAAGTACTTAATTAGCTGTGAGATTAAACAAGTATCTATTGAGCCTCATTTTATGCACTGCACATGGTTCCTGCCCTAAAGACTCAGATCATAAAAATGGGATCTCAAATATCTAGTTAAAGAGTACTGGTAAGCAGTGAGTATAATATACTACTGAACAATATACTCTTTAGGAAAAGTGAAAAATTCCATGAAGGCCTTACTTTGGCCCTAATAGAAGTCTAAAGAGGGGTTATACTATGAAAACAGATACTTTTTGCTCATTTACTAGTAAATGCCAAATAAAGAGAACAGTCCAGTTGCTCTTTCCTGAATATTTACCTACCAGGGTCATTAACAAATGTCCACTGTGCAGAGCCTTGAAAGTCCCTGTATACTTATAACCTAGTGGAAACGGAAGTTTACTCTACTAAAGCCAGAATCCCAAACAAATGCTAAGGAGAAGAGCAGGCCTTGTTATTGGAAACGTGCTCCATGGTAGGAGAACTGAGTGCTTAATTAGCTGTGAGATTAAACAAGTATCTATAGAGCTGAATTTCTCACCCTGAGGACTGCTGACATTTTGGACTGGGTAACTCTTTATTACGGGGACTGCTCCTGTTTAGCAGCATCGTTGCCTCTACACAATGGATGACAGTAGCACTTCTCTAGTTGTGGCAATCAAAATGTCTCTGGACATGAACGGCTGTCTTCTGGGGAATAAAACTGCCCCTGGTTGAGAACCACTGCTATAAAATAATAATAATACTAGATGATGATGACAGCCAAGTACCAGTCAGATGCTACTGAGACAAGGTCCCTGCCTCTACTCCAATAAAGACAATGAAAGTAAATGGACAATTAAAATGCAGTATAATAAAGTACTAAGATGGGGATACAGAGCAGAGCCAGACAAAAGGAGAAAAATGTGTTCTAGGCAAAGAAGGAAAGAAAAGACATCAAAGATTTAAAGACATCAGGTATAGAGTCAGAGTAAGGTTAAGAAAACATATTTGGGAGGAAAAACTGAATAGTCCATGGTGGTTACTACAGCAGAGGGCTCATGGGAAGAATAGGAGAGTGGCTGGAGTCCAAATGAAGAATCTCTGTTAAGAGTTAGTAGGGGCAAGAGACCACAGTAATAATTCAGGTCAGGAATGCCACAGGCCTGCAGTAAGGCCAATGCAGAGGGATGGGCAAAGAGAATTGATGGCTAGTGAATATGAGATTGATCCCTTAGGGTTTTGCCACATGAGTACAACTGAAGAACATGGGGACAGGGAGTTGAAAGAATTAGTAATAAAATGATTGTGACAGACATAAGGTCTAAGGAAGTGAAAACACTGGTGAGGACAAAGTATACAGAAGAAGCAAGGATATGAGAGGGCTGTGCTTGGAGCAAGGGCCCTTACATGAGCCCTCAGATCTATAGGTAAAATTCAGGGACATGAAATTTAGGATAAAACTGTATATTTAACCCTAGCCAATGTGGTTCAGTTGGTTGGAGCATTGTCCTGTACAATGAAAGGTTGAGGGTTCCATTCCCAGTCAAGGCACATACCTAGGTAGGGGGCATGTACAGGAAGGCAACTGATCGATGTTTCTCACATTGATGTTTCCATCTTCCTCTCTCTCTTTTCCCCTCTCTGAAATTAATAAGCATGACCTCAAGTGAGGATTAAAAAATGATAAGGAAAATTTTAATTTAAAAAATTGCATATTTATCTTCATGAAATTCTAATTAAAATTTAGCATGTCTTTCAATTATGATTGTAAGCAACAAATCACAACATCATTAGTAGTTCCTGTGACTTTGTCACCAACAGAAATCACCAATATCTTCATATCATACCACTATTGCAGTTATTTTGAAATACCATTCATCTTATCATTATTTCGAAATGAAAATAGCTATTAGACTTACTGATAGGTCCTGTTATTTAATGCATTGATTAAAAAGCACACATTATAGTACAAATTTAATCCTTTCATAATTATATTTCAAATATAATTGATTTCCTTTCTAACCCTAAGTACTTTATTTTATGCATTTAAGAACATTATTCTGAGGTCCAGGGGCTTCATCAGACTCTCAAAGGAATCTTTTGGAACAAAAACATTTAAGAATTCTGGCTTAGAAGACTGAATCCTAAAGTTTTTAAGCTTTGGAGGTGGCGAATTCAGGGGATAATGAGGCCCAGGTAACGCCATGGATGAGACTGAAGGGTATATGAAAGAGTAACAAAGAGAAGGACGTCAAATAACTGTGGTGCCAAGGTGTGGAACAAATATCCATCCATATGGACACTGAATTACTCACTTTAATCAATCTCAGGATATGGGGTGGAAAAGGAAAGACTGTAAGGTAGTTTGCAAAATCTGATGACTGCCACGTATGATAAAAAGGCCGACTGTGATGTGGCCTAGGAGAGATGAGATGCCATAAGCCTCACACAAGGAACGGTTTTTACCCTCAGAAGTCAAGTACCAAATTACTGGACCTGTTCTTTGTTCCTTTTACTCCTTTCAACTCTCAAAAACCTATCTCTGCCTCCTTCTACTCTCCTTTCCAACTCCTGTTTCAAAGTAAACAGGACCTGACCGCTTGACAAATCTGTAATTCCTACCTTCCTAACCAAAGTATGAATAACTACAATCAAGTAAGCACATCGCTTTCCTTGTCATACCTACCCATAATCAACTATGAAGAAGAATTAGAAATACTTATGGTGGGGAAGTGAGAAGAAAGTAACTTGGGTACAGACTATCTCTAGGGCAGTGTGAACCTTATGAAATAAATTCAGTTTTAACCAGCATTTTAAAACATGAAATAGAATGGAAAACATCAGAATGCAATGCACATAGTAAAGGTAAGCACTGTTCTAAGAATCTTTTATTTCTGTTACACACACATACACATCTGAGTCTAATGTAAACATACCGCAGGTCATGGTTCAAAAAGTTTGAAAGCCATGGTTCCAGAGGTAGAACCATCTCTCTGAAGAGAACCTCAGGCGAAAATAAAAAGCCCACAACGAGAATAAGGAATATGGATCTGCAGCTTTCCCTGGGGTCTACTACACTGCTAATGTCCTGCAATCAGCTTGGGGGTCAGGTCCCAGCTCTACCACCTACAAGACATGCATGTAAGAAAAGTCACTGCACCATCGAGTCTCCCTCATCTGTAAAGAAGAGCTAAATATCTCCATCTCCATTATTTCACAAGACAGTTATGAGGATCAAAAATAATATAAAACATTGTGCTGTTATTGTCACTTTATTTCAAACTACACAGCCAGACTGATGAGAAACAAATTACACGAGTACCAAAAATACGCCCAAATCATTGTTACCCAATTGTGCGGTTAGACAAGCCAAATATTAAAAGTTGTGGGGAAATACTAGGAAATTATTTCTTTAGAGAAAGGTAACTAGGAGAAGAGGACAAATAATGAAATTATTCATGTGTACATACGTGTCTCAAGTAACACACATGAGAAAATGGGCACAAAGAGGACTCAAAGCAAAAAAGAAAAATCACTAGTTTTGATGGGTAAGACTTAGAGGTAAAATGAATTGAGATAAAGAAAGGAACAATGAAACATGTTTTCATATCTTAAATTGCCTCCCAAGACCAAAAGATGCACCAATTGTTATCCTTCAAGCGTAGTTCAATATCACCTCCTCCAGAAAACCTACTGCACACACCAGCCCCTACCTACCTCTAAATGTCTCTAGCACTCAGTGTTTATATCTCTCATCTGACATACAACTAATATTACTAGGCGGTATAAAACATATAATCCAAGATGAAGTCAGGAAAGGCCCTACTGGAAAGAAAGAAGTATACAGTTTATTTCTCTGCCTTTAAGTTTAGAACTTAAAAAATCTATTAATTTAAAACTATGCATCCATCCTGCCCCGTCAGTGTGGCTCAGTGGTTGAGTGTTGACCTATGAACCAGGAGGTCAGGGTTTGATTCCTGGTCAGGGCACATGCCCCAGTTGGCTGGATCCCTAGTAGGGGGTATGCAGGAGGTAGCCTATCGATGATTCTCTCTCATCATTAATGTTTCTATCTCTCTCTTCCTCTCTGAAATGAATAAAAACATATTTTTTAAAACAGAAAACTATGCACCCGTCCTGATGGCGGGGGATCCACTGGCCTCAGCTCTATCTTTTTTGGCTTCTGGCCAATAGGTAACTTATTATCTTCATGGGTAATTTAACTACATGTTACTTTCAGTAAATACAAATTGTGTAAGGATCCAAACTGAACAGAATCCCAATATCCTAAATAATCTGATTAATACCAGAGGTATAGCCTCTAGGTTTAATATACTTTCTTTTTCTGTTACTACAAAATTATTTATAAGTGAATTAAAATGATCTCTTCCTAGTTGATATTAGACTATAATTTCCTGAGGGTGATAATAGTACCATTATTTTAACTTCTAACATACTAGTATGTTTTGTGACTCAATAAATATCATGATATATAAAAAACAAACTCAAAGACTAGGGTGGGGTAGGGGGAGAAAAAGACCTTTACCTCCACCACTCCATCCACATTTGCCTACCTCTTGCAGTGTCAACAAAGTATTAAGAATTGCTGGTAGTGTAGTCTGGACAACTCCAAATCTATCTTCTGTAAATGACGCTGCTACTAAGTGTGACAAACCTCAAGGGGAAAACAAAAAAGTTAAAAGTGAATTAAAATTAGGCAAATCTACTTGCATATATCAATTGGACAAAGGACTGATACTCTTAATAGATGAAGAACTTCTAAATAAAAGAGGGGAGGTAATACAACAGAAAAATGGGCAAAGATCAGAATAGGCACTGGAACAGTGCTTAGCTGCAGTAGCCTTGAATAAGATAATCTGCTTTATGTTCTAGTAACAAACTGTTTTTCTAAATGACTAGAGGCCCAGTGTACGAATTTGTACATGGGTGGGGTTCCTTGGCCTGGCCAGCGACTGGGGCCGATTGGGGCCATCTCACCCAGTCCCAATCGGGGCCAATCGGGCCTGGCCGGCCAGGGGGAGGGACCGTGGGAGGTTGGCAAGCTGCAAGAGGTTGGCTATGGGAGCACACTGACCACCAGGGGGCAGCTCCTGCATTGAGTGTCTGCCCCTGGTAGTCAGTGCACATCACAGCGACCGGTCATTCGGTCAACTGGTCATAATGGTCTTGAAACACCATGCACACACACACACACACACACACACACACACACACACACACACACACATACTGCATTTGGTAATGGTAAGTGATAGGAAGAAAAACAAAGGATAATAAGGGAATGCAGTCAAGGTTATGAGGATACTTTTCATTAGGGGTCAGAAAAGGCCTATCTGAAGAAGTATCATTTAAGCTTTGAGAAGGCAGATCTATAACATAAATTGTAAGTTCTTTAACAACGAAGTTTACATATTTAATCTAAGCTAAATATGTTAGAATATATTAAATGTTAAGTTATGTCAACATAAATTGAGAGTTAAAAACAATTTCTCTATTGCAGTTTTTTTGAAGGAGAGAGAAAGATATGCAAGAATCCCAGGCCCTGCCGAAACCGGTTTGGCTCAGTGGATGGAGCATCGGCCTGCGAACTGAAGGGTCCCAGGTTCGATTCCGGTCAAGGGCATGTACCTGGGTTGCGGGCACATACCTCGTAGGAGGTATGCAGGAGGCAGCTGATCGATGTTTCTCTCTCATCGATGTTTCTAACTCTCTATCTCTCTCCCTTCCTCTCTGTAAAAAAATCAATAAAATATATTAAAAAAAAAAAAAAAAAAAAAAAAAGAATCCCAGGCCCAGTTTCTCTGCTTATATAGAAGGAAAATTTCTGCCCAGATTAAAGCACACCTAAATATTTAAGAAAAATGATCTAGATAAAACAAAGATATAAAAATGTATCCGAAAATTCAAAGATTGAGATCAAAATCCAGAACTGACCTTACATGGATTACACTTCAATATTTAACTGATAATTAAAATCATAGTTGCAGATCACTGAAATTGCTTACCTTCCAAAGCCCAAATATGCATTTGGGCATCTGCAAAAACAGCCTGAATGGAGGCCTCTGGGTGCTACAAATACAACAAAAACATTTAAGTAAGTTCCACTGGGCAAAAACTCTTATTTCATCTAATCAACTATCCTATATAATCCTATTCATATATAATAAAGAGGTAATATGCAAGTTGACCGTCACACCCTCACACAAGATGGCCACCCCCATGTCGTCACAAGATGGCCACCACAAGATGGCTAGTAGGGGAGGGCAGTTAGGGGGGACCAGGCCGGCAGGGGAGGGCAGTTAGGGAGGACCAGGCCTGCAGGGGAGCAGTTAGGCATCAATCAGCTGGCAGGGGAGTGGTTAGGGGGTGATCAGGCTGGCAGGCAGAAGTGGTTAGGGGCAATCAGGCAGGCAGGCGAGCAGTTGGGAGCCAGCAGTCCCGGATTGTGAGAGGGATGTCTGAGGGTACCCAGATTGGAGAGGGTGCAGGCTGGGCTGAGGGACACCCCCCCTCCCCAGTGCATGAATTTAGTGCACCGGGCCTCTAGAGTAGACTATAACAACAGAAAATGCACAGCTGCCTCTTAAGAATTAAAATCTGGAATTCTTATACAATGTGATCTAACTGCAATAAAGCATTCTGCCACCAACTTACTATGTGATCCTTGCCAAGTCCCTAAATCTCTATGTGCCTCAGTTTCTCATTTAAAATAAGAGTTGCAGACATTCAACCCATCTTAGAGGATTAGTATAGAGATCAGTTATTTTCAAAACAAAAGAACTACCTAAGTACATACTACCTCTCTTGAATTGTCTACCCTCAACCCCACTCCAAACCACCCAACTTTCTTTAATAAAACAAAGCCGAATAGTATGGAGCAACAAACAATAGCCCATTTATACAAATACTGGCTTTGGTAATGCACCCAATGAAGCCTATTAAGTACAACAGCATGTTAGATCTCTCAACATCAAAGAGTAATGTCTATAACTCCTTATCATACAATAGATCGATCCACTTGCAAACCTAGAATCAAAAGCAGCATTTACCTCCAAGAAAAAAAGGAGATCTTGCTCAGCCTCTGCCTGCCACCTATTGGCTATGCACCCTTAGGCTAGCTACTTGACCTCTCTGAGCCTCAAGTTTCCTTATCAGTAAAATGAGGACAAGAAAACAACTCACAGGAATGCTGTTAGAATTAAATGAGGGAACTTAAGTGAAAAGAGCATGGGGTACATCTTTCTGAAACAAAGCACTAAAGTAAAACTTCAGACAATTCCTCTTCCTCTTGGTGGAAGACACCTTCTTTAGGGGTCGCATAGTTTACCCAAACCTCTATGGTAGATTATTTTTTATAAAGGTAATTAGAGGATGGCTCTTCCCTGCCACATTAGTGGGGGGAAAAAATGTCAAGAACTTCAAGTGTTTCTTTGTTATGTGCATCTATATTCTATCAGAGTTACTCAGCTCTTTCTCCCCACAAGAGTACACTCCCAAAGAATAAAAATAAGTAATGTATGTCAATGCAACTTCCACTTTAAGGCATAATTGAATGCAATATTAGCTAATACTGCAATATCTTCAGAAAGAGAGAAGCTGGATTAAAAAAGAGAACAAAACAGATATTCTTTCCCCTACATACGGACAAAGGTTTTTCCTCATCAAAGGATTATTTAACACACAACAGCTGTCGCCAGTGAAAACAGGAATGAATTTTCAGCTTCTGCAACTGAGATTTACTCTCTTATGGCAGCTGGAGCAAGCAGCTGAGAGACAAGCTGGAAAGTCTTTTAGTTTGTGGCCTGAATTACAACTTTTTATGCAACACAAGTTTAACATCTTCAATCTAACACAGTCATCTCTCTTCTGAAGAGCAAATTGGCCACAAAGATGTTAGCAGGACAATGAAACATAAAGGAACGCCATGGATTTGCTCATTTTGCAGGATAGGGTTGTAGATCAGCACAAAGCTATCTGCAGCCAAGACACTCAATAGGCCAACTACAGTCAAGCCCCAGGAAGCCACTGAGGTGAGATGTGAGGTGAGAATGGGCAGCTATTGTTAAAACGGAGGTTTAGTGAAGCACTAATACAAAGCTGCCTAGCTTGCTAAGATCAAGCTACTTATTTATTTATTCTTAAATATATTTTTATTGATTTCAGAAAGGAAGGGAGAGGGAGAGAGAGAAACATCAATGATGAGAGAGAATCACTGACTGGCTACCTCCTGCACACTCCCTCAGGGAATCAAGCCCACAACCTGGGTATGTGCCCTTGACTGGAACCGAACCCGGGACCCTTCAGTCCACAAGTCGACGCTCTATCCTCTGAGCCAAACCAGCTAGGCCAAGCTACATATTTAGAAGTCAAATCCTATCTGCTACTTAATTTCTTATTTCATTTCCTCGCCCCCCATTCCCAATGCTATATCTACATATTCTTACCTTACTGAAAAAATACATTATCAGCACCCGTTTTGACAAGAAATTCTTAATCTGAGTTGGAAAAAAAAAAGAATGAACACATTCACAGTTTCAATTCTATTTAAATGTAGTATCACATATTTCCCGGTTCTCCTTAACATTACTTTAAATAAAACACCTCCCATCTTAGAGAGAAAGAACAGTATTTACAATAATCCATGTAAGGAAATACATTTGTACAATAAACTGGATAATCGAGATGGGCCATTTAACCTAAATTGCATTCCTATGTACACATGTCTAACTCCCCCAATTAAAGACCTGTCATAATTAAAGGAATTTTCAGTGGTTCTGGTAATATTTTCTGAGACCATATTCTTTCTCAATTCTTCAGGGCTATCTTGCTCTTTAGCCTCTATATATATATGTTTCCCCTACCCCCATCTTCAAATCTTAGTTTGTGAAGTGGTTTTCTACTAGTTGACATTTATAGAGAAAACAATTTCTTAGTATTATAAACTGACAGTATTTATGGCATCTAGAGCCATATGGGATACTGAAGTCATAAAATGCCTTCAGTTCTCCCCTCTATTAATTGATCCTTCTATCAGCAAATGTAATTATTCCCCATCTTTAAAAAGTAAAACCCTGAGAAACCAAGATGGCGGCATAGGTAAACACCGGAAATTGCTGCCTCCCACAACAAATTCAAAAATACAACTAAAAGACAAAACAGACATCATCCAGAACTACAGGAAGGCGGGCTGAGTGGAAATTCTACTAGAAGGAAAGAGAAAAGCACACTGAGGCTCAGAGGAGCTGCGGAAGTAAAGTGCAGAGGTATGGAGGAGGCTCGAGCGCACGCGGCAAAAGCTGGCGACTGAGGACACCACTGTCTTTTTGAATCGGGAGGGAGCCACAAGCCCCCGACTGCTCTGAACTCCAGTTCCCAGTGAGTCTCTGGGGACCTAGACTCATAAGGGGAGAAACTGGACTGTCTGGCAGCGGGCAGAACTCGGAACTTGAGGGCGGCTTTCTCTCAAAGGTGCTTGCAGCAATTACCAGGACACTGAGACGTGGGGCCCCTTAGGGCAGGGCTGAGGATCAGCCATAGCT